TACACTGGTGCTGCCTGATAGGAGGAGAACATCTGAGGAGGTAAGACTGATTGCTTAAAAAAAATATATATATATTTGAAAAAAGTAGCACCTGTCTCAACTATAGTGTCCTGTCTCATTTAGGTTGTTGTTATATCAGTATTATATATCTATATATGCAAATATTAGTAGAATTATCAATGTTTACTCCACTATTTTCACATGAAGTACGCAAGGGAATGTGGATGCAGCTATATGATAGCTTGTTGCATAAGAATCAAGACTTTCACATCGTACAGGTATTATGATATTTGGTGCCATATATTCCCAGTTCTAGAAATACTCCTGAGAGTTTGTAAATCTACAATATCTCATCTCCAACAAGAAATGTGAAGGGACATCGTGGATGGCAGGACAGCACTACAAAGTTTGGAATAACCAAACTTGTTGTGCAATGATGTGGAATATGAATTACTGTTGCCCAGGAAATGATTAAATAATATCAAGGCTACCGTTTATGATATTTTAAAATTAAGCAATAATAATCCTAATCTGAATAGCAATGACTTGCAGGTAAATGTTAAAGAAATTTGACTTAAGAGTACAGTTTCCCTCATGCTGTCCTGCATTGTATTGTTGGTTTCACTGATTATTTGAGCAGGAGTGTCACAAAATTAAGTGGTTTTACGTCAGTGCCAAACCATTGCAGTGATCAGTCAACTCTGTTGCCATAGCATTTCTGATAGTAATTATGCTGCCCCAGCATTTGCATAGTCAGGTTATCTTTAAACACACATGACTGTTGTTTGATAGCAGGAAAGGTATAAACAAAGGTAAAACATTTAATCTTTATCTTTTTAATAATAATCAAGTTGACTATTAAGGATGCAGAGTAAGAAGGGAATAAGACCGCAAACCAAAGACTCCCATATTGAGTGATTTCAAACTCTGGCAGTGGAGATAAAAGTGACATCCGAGCTGTGTTTGCAGGTGTGGGTACAGACTGAATGCACAGAGGGATTCACACAGGCCGAGATGAGTGAGCAACAGGTGAAGTGTTAAAGAGGGGCTGATAGAAAGGAAGCTGTCCATGGTGCTGAAAACAGTTCTTGTACACTTATTTCAAATGATCCTTTATAAGTACAACGACTTCAGTGGGGTTTTTTTTTTGTTTCTAAGAAAATTAATATCCGCCTTGTTGTTGTTGA